AATTATTTACCATGTATAACTACCACATTAGTATAATTTCTCATAGCATTAGCCTATTGATGTTCTAATATATATATATATATATATATATATATCATACATGGTTAAATATGCTGAATATATGGAGCATGTGTCTAATGATTTTCCTTTTCTTTTGGACATGTACATCGTTTGGGCCTACTGAGTTCCTAAGACACTCAGGCCCAATCCCAGCTTTGTCACATTTTTTGGAGAGTCTAACATCAGCCGTAGCCGCATTTCTTTACTGCTGGGCCTGCCTTCTTGAGGCTCAATTACCAGAGTCCATTCCTCTTTCCCTCAATTCCTTTGTTATTATTTATTGCTTCCTTAATCTAGTTTACTGCTTCATTACTTTTATATACTGCTCTGCTGCTTTGTCGCATTTTTGTTGTCATGTATTTAATACTCATATATTAGATCACATACTTTATCTTCATGCCTTAATATCATATGAAACATAGACAAGCTTTAAATAATATAGGATTTAAAATGAACTAGTTAGTAATTAATCCTTACTATGCTAATTATATTTTACTCATATCATTACTATGCTCTCGCTCACCCTTTCCTTCTCTTAAAAGATTTTGAAGCCCAACGGCCCATTTTCAAAAAGAAATCAGAACTGAATCGCAAGCTCTACTATCACGAAGCAAAAATCAGAATTTTTCGCAAAAATGAAGAACTATCGCGTCAAAGGATTTCCAACAAAATGATCTTTCTTTAAATCTTCAAATCAAGTTATATCTTTAGCTTACATTTACAAACACCTTTTAGAATTACACCTATCCCCTAAATCAATTATTTTCATAACTTAACCTCCTTTCATAAGTTTTATAAAATGAAGACCATCTACATACATATTTTCAAAACTCCGTCAACATATCTTTAAACTCCTTTATAAATTCACACCCCTCTTAAGTCTCACATCCCTTTTTATACTCTCCCTTAGGTATATAATAAGCCGTACTCTTTAATAGTAAATTAAGAATAGTATAAATAACTGATCCCTTAAAATTAGTCTAAGTCCTATGGAGCTACCTCAGGTAGATTTTAAAGGGTGTCTAACATTTTCCCCTTAGAAGAACAAGAACCCTTACCCATAATCTCACCGATGAGCAGACCAATAAAAATATAACTTAATAATTAAATAGGTACCCTAGTATACCTTTAAATATTAGGTGGCGACTGTCTTTTATCAACAACAGAGAAACCACAAGTTGAATATTATTTTGTCTAGTGTAAAATAGGGTGCAACACTCAGCAAATTACGATCCATTAGAATCGTGATGGTCCTTATGCCCCCACTCCATCCTCACCTCGATCTGAGTGATCCCCTCATCAATCATCCTGAGATCGTTAGGGTTCGTGTTGGAACTTGACTCATCGCCCTAGTTGATAACGCCCTTTCCTTTATCCTCGTAGGCTGGAGGAGCATCCGCTGCCGGCCTGGAAGATGAGGCCTCCTTTTGCCTTGTAGGAAAGGAGCTGTCACCAAGCGTCCTCTCCACAACCATATCCTCATCAGGATGCAAAGGTACTCCCTCATTAGCCTCTTCTAATTGTGGGGCCTCGGAGGTCGCCCCAACATCATCTCCACTGTGTATCATTGTCGTCTCCTGAAGCATGAATTCATCTTTTACTGAACCGACGGCCAAGGGAACTTCCCTTCCTACGTCCACAGCTTTCCTTTTACGGGGCCTTAGGTTCCCCTCACCAGGAGATACTTCATCATCTTCGTCGATGAGTGAAAACAAAGGAGGAACAGGCGTAACAGTAGAAACAGGGGCAGAGGCGGAAGGCGCAACAACCGAAATAGGGGCTGAGGCGGAAGGCGTAGCAGTCCTTCCCCTCCTAAACATGGGCACCGGCGCCTTGTTCCTTCTTGTATCTCCCCTGACTGAACCTAGAAAAAAGCATAAGAATTAAGTACAACGGCATAAGCCAGTACGAATACAATAACGACCAGAAGAAGGAGACTACCTCTCGAGGGGAGAGTCGGTTTGAACTTCTCAAAGATGCTCGGCCTATCACAAATCCTCACGATGTAGGGGAGAACTTGCCTGACCCAGTCAGCGAGACGCACCGCCAAAGGAAAAGGACGACTAGTAGATGCAGAAGAAGAAGGGTTACTCGACCAACTTGGAATGAACAAGATACTTAAAAGGGTAAAATCATAAAACACGAACACTTACTTGTATGGTTCCAAGCCTTAGGGAACCATTAACATTGGACACAAAGGCCTCAGTCATGAAAAAGAAGTACTCGAGCTAGAACTGCCGACTACCCTTATCGTCCATCTTCACCATCAAGCATTTGCCTCCACGATGTCGCAGGTTAAACATAGTCCCTTTATAGAAAATAGGGATGAACAAATGCACCAAGTGTCGTACCGTGACCTCGACCCCGGCAAGTTCGGTGAACTTTGATAGCATCTTGATGACCTTATAAACATAAGGGGCGAGCTGAGCGGGGCAAATACCATAATGACGGCAAAACTCCTCCACCGGCGGGAGAAGGGGGAACGAGTAACCAATGGTAAACGGGTAGGCATATAGAGCACAATACCCAAGACAATGAACGTGCACTTCATCCTCACCATCATAGATTAATTCTACATGGTTGGGAAGGCCAAACATGGCTTTGAATTCAGCTAAGTGCCTAGACTTCATCGACGATTGAAATTTTTCGGTCATCACATCCGGCGACCATTTAAAATCAGATCTAGCATCGGGGTTACGGGGGATAATCTCCTCCACTGAAGGAAGAGCTTCATCCTCAGCGGCGGCAACAATATCTCCCCTATGAACAAGGAATACAATGACTAAGGGAATGGCGTGGTTCTCCTCATCAACATTAGAAGGAAGGTTAGACATAACTATAAAATTTATAAGAGGTTGGGATATGAAAAATGAGAGTAATAGAAGAAGTTAAAGGTCAGAAAGCAAAGAAAATTCAAGAATAACAGAGGAGCTTCTGTAGAGCAGGGATCATTCCAAAGAAAGTAAAATTTGAATAACGGTGGAACAATCCCTATTTATAGAAATGAAGGCATCAAACCCGAAATGGCTCATCATGATTGACACAACAATCAAAATGACAGTGCCAATCAAAAGTCGCGCATAAACCGGTGCGATACTTTGGGAACATGTGTCATCATGACGAATGTCGTCATGACGTCACTCCTTTTCATGGAAAAAACGGTTCCAACAAATCAACTGGGAAAATCAAGATTTAAAATATGCGTTCCCCGAAAATCCACGTCGCCCGTTTGTCATGACGACCACGACCGCTGCTATCTGCTCATTGAACTTGCCCATGAGGAAGACCTCAACAAACGGAGGGACTAACTGTATGGGCTAAAAATTATCATTATTATATGTGGGCCAAGTCAACATTAAGAAAGTTTTCGAAGGCTGCCACACGTCATCGATTTGGTTTTAACAGAGGACGAAGGCGAGGTTGAGGTGACCTAACAGAGGACGAAGGCGAGGTCAAGTTGACTCAATAGAGGACAAGGACGAGGATGAGTACTCCCTTTAAAAGAGCAGTAATGGCTAGTTTTAGAAATATACCTCACAAAAATATTCTAGGGAATATTCCTCCCATGTGTACTATTAAGGTTTTTGTGGCCCATGTGCCCTTATAAAGAGAAAGAAAGAGGATTGTAGAGGGAATTGGACACTCATTGTAAAAAATAATATATTGTTTTATCACACACATATAAAATATACCTTTTCTTCATGTCTTTATCTATATTTTCTTCCACGATCCAAGGAGAATCTGAATATTCAAAGGTTTATCAATCATATATCTTTGTGAGAAAGAATATCGAAGAATCTCATCTTTATTTCGGGTGACTCACATGCATTTATTTACATAAATGTCATTCATTGTTTTTACTGTTATTTAATATTACCTCCAATCCTTTATTTTTGGATCATTGAATATAGCGTTATTGTCATCATTTATTGCTACTCAAATAGTATCCATGATATCTCGCTACAAAATTAGTTCATCTGTCTTTTGGATATTAATATTGGCTAAGGTTAACTCTTTTTTATTAGAAATCTAATTGTTTAAATCTAGATCTAAATTTCAGGTCAAATATATATATCCTCCAATAATTTTTAATTTAAACGGTTGGGTAGGTTAATTACTCAACCTTTTTTACCCCAATAGATCCATATTTCCCCAAATCTTACTCTCATTTAGACTGGAAGCTGAATTTTATTGGCAGGTGCATACGATATAGAAGCTGAATTTAACCATGTGTTGATGACGCAACTGCGCTTATTTGAATAATTTATCTCATGTGGAAGTCTATTCGAAGTTTCCGGCATTCAGTTAATGAATTTCTGGAGGGTCTTATTTCATGCGAAATATAAGGATATTGATGTTTTTCTTTTTTCCATAAAAAATAAATCTTATAATTTTGCCGCAATAAACGTTTAGTAGAATGACAACTCGTGAAATAAATCCTACATTTCACCGGCTAATGGTTTGAACTAATTTCCCGGACAAAACAAGTTACAAAAGGCTAGGACTCTTTTGTAAAGTTAATAGTTAATACCATTGCTTATAGATTCTTATATTTATAATAAATGGTTAATCATCAAATACCAAATCCAGTTAACACTCATACATATAGTAACCTAATTAATGAAAAGTAGTCTAATACCAAAAGTGCAGTGATCTTGTTGACCGAGAAACAAGTATAAGAAGGAAGCCCAAGTCAAGAGTTCATGAGTCGTAGCTTTTGAAGCAAAAGTTGGAAATGACAAAGCTCCTAGCTTCATTTTTCTATGTTGTCCTCTTTGTCTCGATTGCATCAGGTTCCAACTACTCTCTAAGATGATGATATCTTGGCTTTACCTTTTTGTTTTCCTTGATTTTTTCGGTAGGGTCCAACTAATTCGGATTCCTTCGGGGAAGTCCCACGTTGGGGAGGGAAAGGGAGTAAAGTGTTCCATAACAAAGACGATTTCATGTACCCAGGCTCGAACCAGAGACTTCTTGTTAATGATAAAGGAGTGCTTACACTCCACCACAATCCTTATTGGTGCCTTTAATGATGAAGCCGAGACTTCTTTTTTACTTGGTTATTACCTGTTATTTTATTTTACTTTATTTTGATGAATGCAGGTGAGAGGTTTGTTCCTGTGATACATGAAGAAGGACTATGCACAGTTGATATTGGTGTTAACATTTGCGCCCCATTTGATCATGAAGAACGATGTATGGAGCCATGCATTCAAGCAACTTCCGCTCGGGTTACCGTAGCGACGTGTGAAGTACGTGAAGATCTTTCTACATTTTGCCAATGTATAATTGTTTGCCATGCCAAACACATAGTAAATCAAGAAAAGAACTTGAAGATTGCAGCATCACCTGCACCTTATTGATGTTTTGGATCCAAATATCCTAACTTTTTAGGAATGATGCATAGTTATTATTGTAAGAAAAATGATGGTTTGACTAGACTTTCAACCACCACCATGATTTATGTGCTTTATATATAATTTGCAATTTCCGAACAATTCATTATAAAATACTTTTATCTCAAAGTGAAATATTTCAGCTTTATTCCACTTGAATTTAAAACCGAAGTGGTCGACATTTAACTTTTGATTCTTTACTGATTTAATTTGACGGCTGAATCCATCTTTATTAACTAGGTAGATATTTTATGTTTAAAGTTTGAAAGCGGTAGAAGAGACTTATCGACTATATGGAGAATGTAGAGAGAACCTCGTACATCTAAACTTTCTATCTCTCCTTTCTTGGTCAAGTGCATGCGGACATAGCCATTCTCAGGAAATGTTATTTAAAAATTAGTCAGTATTTATTTTGTCCTGAAATTTTAAACAAAAATTTTGATTTTAGGATAATTCATAATATTTTTATCCTAAAAAATTAAACTAAAAAACTAAAATTCAGAACGTACTGACTAATTCCTAAATAAGTGCCCTTAGAGTGTCTCATTTCTACTCCTTTCTTTCGGAAGATTAATAGTTTTACGTCCAGTTATGGGTGGGCATAAAGCCCGAAAATCCGCACCAAGTGGGCATAAAGCCAAAAAAGCTGGACGGAACTGAATTAATTCGATTCGTCGATTATTTGGTTTTTTGGCTAGTTTTCAGTATTGACTTTTCAAGAGTTCAATATTTGGTTCGAGTTTAGGTTTTAAGATTTCGGTATTTCGGTTAACTATTGTGAAAATTTGCTTATTTTGATGTTTAGTATTTCTTTTAACACATAGAACCAGCTGCTCTTTATCAGGTCTTGCATGGTAGAAATAAGAGGTGTACAAAGAAAACTGATGAACCGCACTAAACCGATAATTCGAGTCAAATCGAAAAAAAAAAAATCCGATGTAGTTTGGTATTGGAAAATAAAACCCGACCATAATTGGTTTGGTTTGGTTTAAACTAAAAAAAGTCAAACCGAAATCAAACCAACCCGATAGTACATTTATATAATTTTTAAAAATATTTTATACATATAAATATTTATTGTAATGTAATTTATAAATATTTCTTAAACTTTTTCACAGTTTTATCTTTTAACATATTATTTCAAGTTTATACTTAACATTCTTGAATGGTAAATAAATTTTAAAGCCCATAAATATAGTAACTCAAACAAAGTTCAAATCAATACTAATGCTAACAAAAGAAATTCAATTCAATACTAGGAATAACGATATTGTTGAATAATTATTTTAGTTTTACATTGGTTTATAATGAAAATGCATATCATAGTGTATCTTTTTCTTTAGTGCTTAGTTATGTAATTAATATTAGTACTTGTTAGCTATACTTATTTTAGCATGACGTATATAGTATTTTTAGATTATGTTAATTTTTATTATGGCTTATTAATTAGCAATATTTGTTTTATGTAATTTTATTATTTTATCTTTGTTATTGAATATTTTAGTATAATGCTATGACTTATCTCATATTATTGTGTTAGTTTCTTGAAAAATACATTATATAGTTGTATTTTGCTAGGACTTAAGAAATATTTGGGGCACAAGTTACATATTTTATGCTACGAAGACTTTACCGGAAAAAAATCCGAGAAAAACCGAGATTGAAAAATCCGACTTTGTTTGTTTGGTTTGGTTTATAAATTTAAAAATCCGACACCATGATAATTGAAAAATCAGAACCAACCCGACTTATGTACACCCATAGTGAAAATTTTCCTATTTTAATTTTTGTATCTCGATGTTTTATGTGTCCTTGCATTTGTGTCTCCATGGCCAGTGGCCTCACTTTGCTTTTACTATTGTTTTCCAGAGTTATTCATGTACTGGAAATAGCTTCCTAAAACTCTATAAAAGTTTTGATCTTAATTATATGTACCTCATTAATTATGATTGTTAGAAACTGTTGTTTACTCTCTACATTATTTTGACTTTTCTTGACAGTTGACATTTTTCTTTTTGATATTTAATGGCGCTAGTTGATCAGCTGTCAATAGAACTTGGATTCTTGAAATTTTATGTTTGGCATGTAGGAGAAATGCATGGTGTTCAAATCGTTGGTTTCTTGAAATTTTTATTTTTCTAAGCGAATACGTAATATATACGTACCCGGTAAAAGTTTTACAGGGCGGCTTATTTGATCGTTCTTATTTAATTTGTATTTACTTTTTTGAAAAAGTTTATATAGTACTCAAAGTACACACAACTTTAGACCTCTCCTTCTTCTTCTTCTTCTTCTTCCTCCTCCTCTTCTTCTTCCTCCTCTTCTTCTTAAACAACGGTGATGGTAAATTTACATGGTATTTGTGAGCAAGTCTACTTAGGGTTTCTTCTTTTTTCTCCTCTTAATTGCAAAATGGGTTTGTTAGCTTGTTTGTTGTTTTGACAAATTGATGGTTGTGGTTTATTCTTTATAAAAATTTAAAAGTTATATTTCAAAATTGAGCTCATTTAATTACACTACTAGAAAATAGATCTATCGCAACAGTTATTTAGCAACGGTTGTGTAAACGTTGCAATAAAATATCTATGGCAACAGTTACAACTGTCGCATGTTCCTCTCAGACCTACTGAGATAGGTAGTATAATAAGTCGTTGCATTAGGGATTAAACCGTCGCTGTAGATTGATGTATCGTGACGGTGTCCTGAACCGTTGCAACAGATGCATCTTTGGCAACGGTTTCTGGAAAAACAAAGGGCTACTGGGTCGGTTGTGCTTTTCCTCCCCATTTTCCCTCTAATAACTTTATCGCGCCTTTTTTTAACAGAAGGGAGACTAAACGCCTGAAGGAAAAACAAAAGAAAAACTAAAAGTCCTAACACATATACAAAGAACAAAAAGCCTAAAGTTTGATACAAGCCCTAAATGAGATAGCACGCTGTCGTCGACACTAAAGATCGATTACCACCAGAAAAGGCTCACGGGAAACCAAGAGATTAAGAGGTTCTTCTCTCGCTATCTCTCTCTTTCTTCTAAACTAATTTTCTTCTTACTTATTTGCTCTCATTCATCGGCAGAGAGCTTTTTGAGGCCTCTCCAGTTTGAAGCTATCTGAAGTCTCATCTCCCTTTACACTAGGTAAGATTCATTTTATATACTTATTTATTAATTTATTTATTTTGCAAGTAAAAGACAAAATGAAAATAAATTATTGGGGTAGCTGCTCTACATTTGTCATCTTCAATGTGCAAGCGGATCTGGTGCTGATATTAGTGATTTTTTGTTCGCTTGTGTAATACCCATAGTTTACAATCAAAAGCCTCTGCCTTTGTTACAATGAGACAAAGCGCAATAATTGGTTTTTGAAATGGAGTCTCAAAGTTTATGCATATTTTTTCCCAAAATATATGTGTATTTCACCCAAAATAAGTGAGGCAAGTATGAAGAAGAGTATTTATCTGGAGAACTTCTTGTGTTGTGAAACTGCAACATAGAGTTGAATTGTTTATGCTGCAGAAATCAAGAAGTGTATTTGACAATTGATAATTTGACATCAAAATATATGCCTCACAAAAAAGATTACATTTAGATATAGCTTTTCTCCAATTTACTTTTGAAATATTTTCTGGTAGTTGGAAAGATTGCGGTATAATTTAGCAGAATTGAGTTTGGGCCGACGTCACATTGTTCGATGTTATTTTTTGTTAGTAGACACCAAAGAGAACTCTCTTGGCATAAATTGATGGTGAACTAACAAGTTGTGCTATTCCTGAAAGTTAAATAAAAGCCCACCAAAGTATTGAAAAATATGTAAAACTCATCCCATAATTTGTAGCTACCAAATTTAGCGACTTGATGCTTTTATTTTCTTTGTATTTATATCTTGTTATGTGAGCGAGTGCTACCAAGATCTCATAATATAAAGATTTATCTAGTTGTATCAAGTATTTTAGTTCATTCAAAATAATTTAACAGGGAAGTCTCTGCTTTAAGTAGTTGTTAGATTTTCTTGTTTGTTCTTTGTGTTTTCTATTTCATGTGTTGGTAAATTCATTTTATTAGTGCTTTATTAAAAGGTTAACTAGTTTACTCTTCTGTTAGTTGTAAGATTTGTTCTAAAATTACTTGATGGAACCTTTGTTGTGACTTTCCATTTTCGGTCATTCACCAGATTAAAGATTTATCTAGTTGTATCAAGTATTTTAGTTCATTCAAAATAATTTAACAGGGAGGTCCCCGCTTTAAGTAGTTGTTAGATTTGCTTGTCTGTTCTTTGTGTTTTTTTATTTCATGTGTTGGTGAATTCATTTTGTTAGTGCTTTATTAAAAGGTTAACTAGTTTACTCTTCTGTTAGTTTGAAAGATTTGTTCTATAAATACTTGATGGAACCTTTGTTATGACTTTCCATTTTAGGTCATTCAGCACATTAATGTGCAAATAGGATAACATATGTTAGTTTTTACCAAGAAAATGATTTAAAAGTTTATACAGTAGATGGTCAAAAAGTCTGCAAGTTTTATAGTTTTGAATACAGTAGATAAAGCTTTAGCTTAGGTGAAATAATTATGTATCTACAATAGTTCCAGATTTTTGTTATTTTAAAATTATGCCGGCAGCTCAAATACTGCCACTTTACTAGTTACAGTCACCTTCGCAACTGGTTTCTGTAACGACCCGACCAATCGTTTTGAGTATTACAATCTCGTTTTCTCATTTACTGCTCAATTTATGCTTTACAGTTATTTTATGACTTACCGGGCTAATTGGTTCGGGTCCGGTGGGGTTTTGGAATGAATTGGAACACTTAGTTCCAAGGTTTAAAGCTTAAGTTAAAATAGTGACTGGATGTCGATTTATGTGTAAACGACCCCGGAATAGAGTTTTGATGATTCCAATAGCTCCGTATGGTAATTTTGGACTTAGGAGCGTGTCCGAAAAATTATTTAAAGGTCCGTAGTGGAATTAGGCTTGAAATGGCGAAAGTTGAATTTTTGAAAAGTTTGACCGGGGAGTTGACCTTTTGATATCGGGGTCGGAATTCGATTCTGAAA